TGAATCTCGGAATGTCCACCCATCGTTGAGGCATGTATAGTATTCATGATTTTTCACCCTTATATCGTTGGATCCGCCCACTACAATCTGACCTTGATATTTGAGAATGCCTCCACTGTACGTGTAAGAAGAGTCACCCTTCCTCAGCAAGGTTTGGGATATTAGTTCCGCAATTTTCTCATCTTTCTCATAGCTATATATGATTTCTTCCACCTATTGTGGTTGTATGTGAGTTATTAGAGCACAAGCTGCTCCATCAGCCTCTTTCTCTATATTAATTCCCCGATCAAATTGTCTAGACAGGGCATCTGCTACTATATTTGCTTTTCCCGGTTTGTATTCAATGATGAAATTAAATCCCATTAGTTTGTATAACCATTTTTGCTGCAATGTATTAACTATATTTTGTCCCCTTAAATATTTAAGGCTCCGGTGATCAATTCTGATGATAAAGGGAGCTCCCATTAGGTAGTTCAACCATTTTCCCACCGCCGTCATAATGGCCATTAACTCTTTCTCATAAGTGGATAGAGCCTGGTTTTTGGGACACAATGTTTGGCTAAAGAATGCAATAGGTTTCTGATTTTGTAGCAACACAACCCCTATTCCCGTCATACACGCATCAGTTTCCACTACAAAAGGTTCATTAAAATTAGGCAAAGCTAATACTGGAGCTTCAGCCATTTTTCTCTTGAGTTCGTCAAACGCTATTTGGGATGAATCACCCCATATATATTGGCCCTTTTTTGTCAGATCGGTTAGATGCTTAGCTATCGTTCCATACCCCTTTATAAATCTTCGGTAGTAACCGGTAAGTCCCAGAAATGCCCGAAGTGCTTTAAGAGTAATTGGTTGAGGCCATTCAACCATAGCCTTCACCTTGCTTAGATCTGTAGCCACACCCTCCTTACAAATAATGTAACCCAGGTAATCTATGTGATCCAACCCAAAGTTGCACTTGGATCTCTTTGCGTACAATTTGTGCTCCCTGAGTACCTGTAAGACCTGTCGCAAGTGTTCACAGTGTTCCTCCACACTCTTGCAGTAAATTAGAATATCATCGAAGAATACCAATACGAATCTTCTAATATATTTTGAAAAAATTTGATTCATCATTTTCTGGAAAGTAGCAGGGGCATTGGTCAATCCAAAAGACATAACCTTGAATTGATACTGGCCGTGATGAGTAACAAAAGCAGATTTTACTCTGCCTTCTTCCCTCAGTCTGATCTGGAAGTAACCTTGTCTTAGATCCAACTTAGAGAAAATGGTTGGCCGTGTAGTTATGAAAGTAAGTCCTCTATCACCGCCATAGGGAATTTGTCCTTCACTGTGATCTCATTCAATTTTCTATAATCTGCACACATACGCCAACTGTTGTCCTTCTTCTTAATTAATATCATCAGAGCAGCAAAAGGGCTGGAACTAAGCTATACTATTCCTTGATCCAGCATTTCATCCACTATTTTCTTCACTTCGTTTTTCAGCGCATATGAATATCGATAGGGCCTCATGGAAACTGGTTTTGCATTCTCTTTCAATTCAATCTTATGCTCAATAATTCTCTCAGGAGGTATCCCTCTGGAAGATATCACCAAACTCATCTATCAACCGACTGATATTAACCGGTAACATGGTGCCCTCCGGTTTTGCTTCCATCCGGAACAAATGTGTTAGAAGCCCTGGAGTAGTTCTATTAAATAATTTTTTTAAGACTCCCCCCACTTATTAATTTCAAAGCTTCCCCACCCGATTCGGCTTGAATTTGTAACTTCCTCCCCTCTTTAGTGATGTCCAAACAATTCTTCTTAAGGTGAAAAGTCACTGGATCATGTTTCCACATCCAATCGATCCCCAATATCACATCGCACCCTCCCAGGGGAGTAACCCTTAGGTCTGCTTCTAACTTGTGCCCGTGTGAAACCCACGAAAAGGTACTGCACCTTTCCCTGTTGATCGTTCGGTCACCATTAGCTACGGTGATCACCCATGGGGGAGTAAGCTCCAATCTGCTTTGTAGCTCTCGTGCAGTGCTTTCATTCAAATAACTATGGGTGTTGCCACTGTCAATTAATATTGTGATATTTTTCGTATCAACCATCCCAGTTATTTTCATCGAGTTGCTGGTTTTGCAACCACGTAAAGCATGTAAACTTACATCACTATCCCCAGTACACTCCATGTCTGTTTTTTCAATCTCATTTTCTGTCTCACCATTCTCCCCATCCCCCTCCTCGCTCATGATAATCTGAAACAATTTTGAGCATTTATGGCCGGGCCCATACCTCTCATTGCATGTGAAGCATAGTCCCTTCTCCTTGGATAGTGAAGCATTATATTCCTCCCTGGATAGTCTTTTCACTTGTGGCCCGAAATTTTCCTTCTCCAAGGATGAGCTAGTTTTCCAAGTTCCCAGATCATTAACCTTGTTCCCCAGTTGAGGGACCATCATCTTCTGTCCCACTTTGCCCTTTTCTCCCAGATATCCAGGGTGCTTTCCCACAATTTTGCGTGATTGATAGCGCCGGTGAGGGTCCTGGGTTTGAACAATTGCACCGGAACCCTCAGTTCCTCTTTAAGTCCTTTGAAGAAACATGAAATAAAAAAGTCTTCAGTAATCGCAGGATGTTTAGCCCTCACCAACGATTTCATTTCCTCAAAACTCTCAACATAACTAGCCACATCAGTTTTTTGCATCAGCTGCATAAATTCAACCACAACACCTTCATGTCCTGGAGATAAGAATCTCTCCAATAATAGCTTACAGAAAAATTCCCAGTTTACATGTTGTTTGTTCTCAATATATTCATATTACCATAAATCTGCAGCTCCCACCATATAATACGAAGCATGAAGTACCTTTGTTAATTCATCCATTGGATGTAACTGGAAGTATCGATTAGCCTTGCGCATCCAGGTACGTGGATCTCCCCCATCAAATTCTGGAAACTCTAACCTCATCGCTGGATGGTAGGCCCTGTTGCTTGAATTTCTGAGATGCGGTGGAGTATAGACAGATTTGAATGATGTATCCTCATTGTTCCCCTTCTCCTTATCCCTAGACATTTGAGCTTGTTGCATAGCCATCATCGCCTCCAGCTGCTGTTTGATAGTAACGAACCCCTCATTGACTTTTTCTAGATGCTCGTTAACCGTGGCGAACTCCTTCCGAAGTCCCTGTAACTCTTCTCCATGTTTCCGTTGGGTATCGAACAAATCCTTCATCCGTGTTTCTGTCGTCATCTCTTGAGTCACCCGATTAAACAGTTAGCCTGGTCTCTGATACCAAATGTTGTGACCCAAGCAGGCAATTTATACGATTCAATAAAATAATAATCGGCAAGTCCAGTAATGATCAGTCCCAAGCCAAGTATACAATAATAATAGACATCAAAGTAAGTATATCTGTCTAGAAGCTAGCGGTCTACTTCGTCTCAGGAGGCGGACGTCGACATCACCTTGATACACATCTCTGGCCTCTTCCCCTTTTCTCCAGCCGTATATAGCAGACCAACCTGTTGCTAATGTATTAGGCAGTAAAAATAACAGCCCAATTACCACACAGTAAAAAATAACTAATACATGTTCTTTTTCTAACAAAGCATTATCTATAATAAAAGATAAGAGATAAGTGGAAAGTGAGTATAATGGAACGAACGCAACATGTTTCAATTTCAAATTCCATGTCTTGTTATTTTAATTTATTCCATGTGTTGTTATTTTAATTGTGTGTTCTTGTTTTAATTATGAGTTGTTATTTTAATGTTCATGTTTATTTTTAATTAAATTCCATTTATTTTAGTTATTATAAGTCTGACACATTATTAAGTAAGTTACTAAAAAGATAGAAGTAATTCATTCAAACACAAATGTTTTATTAAGGCACCTAAATATTAAGGAAATCATAAAGATTTTAGGAAAAAACATTACAAATACGAAGTCAACACTAGTAAATGAAATACATGAAACACATTGCATTAAGAAAACACATAAATATTTAAGGGAAGCATATAAAGTACATTTCATTTCCATGGTGCCTCCACATATGATTTATGAGACCAATTTTAAGTAATGTGCACCGAGGAGTCTCGAATTCAATTGTGGCGCATCATATATTGACTCAAGTTCGGGCCATCATGGTTGAAATCAAATTCAGCAGTGCCACCAATATAGTCATAGACTTCACGGTAGTCTTGACAGGTTGATTCTGCATCCCTCTCTTCATAATCATCTCTCACTTTCATGTTATACATTATAAGGCATGCCATCGTAAAATCACCTAATGTGCGTATATCGTGCAAGCGTGCATGACGTCGTACAATAGCACATCTAATTTTTAAAATCCCAAATGCTCTTTCAACATTCTTACGAAAGCCTTTTGCATTGAAACAAAAAGCCTTTTCTTAGGAGTTCTGTATGACTTATTGTCTTAACAAAAGTTCCCTAACTTCGGTGAATCTCGCCAGCTATATAATAACATTGATTTTAGTTAGTGTTTACCGTCTACATGGAATCCTACCTGAGGGGTATATCCATTTACAACAACATCAAAGACCAGGGAGCTTGCAAGGATGTTGAGGTAATTATTGGAACCAGCATTGCAAAAAAATGCATGTCAAACATGAGTATCATAAGAAGCAACTGCTTAATTCGAGCCCCAAGATGTAGGACAATTTTTCCACTCCCAGTGCATGCAATCAATGGACCCAATCATCCAAAGAAAGTCTCTTTTTGTGGCCATTTCAAGAAGACGATGCAGATCCACGGGATTAAGAGAGAGTTCGTAGGTACCAAGAATCATACACACTAACAACTGCCCTACAAAATTTCTTCATGCACAAAAGTGTGGTTGTCTCACTCAAATGACAGAATTGATCTAATGAATCAGCCGAACAACCATTGGCGAGCATAAATATCGCACTAGTGAGTTTTTGTTGATGAGAAGGAGATACCATGTTTGTTGCATCTACTGTACTTCGAAAATAGGTGTCAGAGGTCATGGCATCTTTCATGATTCGATTGAACAAAGCTGGTTGCATGCGATAATGGCGTCGAAAGATATACGTGTTGTAGGTGGGGGTTGGATTTCAGTAATCATCGATCAACAAATGATGTCCAGCTTCTCAACTACAGCCTTTTTTTTTTACCCCGGAAGGCAAACCACCAAAATCAGTGGGGCAAAAGCCGGGGGTCAATTGCCAGTATTTTATTAATAAGAGAGGGCGAACAAAAAGAAAGGGGGACTATACCAAAACCTCTCCCAACAAATCAAAATAATAATAAAAAACAAATTAAACACGCCATCTAAAAGATGGAAAATTAAAAAAGTCCAGAAGAATAGCAGTTCTAATCGGACTGGGGAGAAGCTTAACATCAGTCCAAATGGTCAAATGGGCCGGAGAGAAGCCCGCAAGCAAATGTGCCGGTTCATTACCTTCCCGTAAAACATGTCTGAAGGAAATACCTTTCCTAAAAGAGATCTCCCTGAATCGAACAATATCTTCCTTCCATCTGCCAAATTTCCTACCTGAGATATAGTCGAGAGCCTCATCAGCATCACACTCTACCTGAAACCCATCATAACCATTGTGAATCGCCCAAGTCGTCGCCTTTATCAGCGCCATTAGCTCCGCTTCCAAACTGGATAGAGCCTCGAGAGGAAAAGCAGTAGCACAGACCATCCTACCATCAATATTTCTCAAAATCGCACCTCCATATGCTTGGCCAGGTATGTAAGCAGCGTCTACATTCAATTTCAACCCCTGTTTTGGCTTCACCCAACGAACTGGATTGTAAAGCTTTTGGGAAATGTGATAGTTGACAGGAACACGCTTTTCTTCAGTTAGAACGCCTGTAGAAAATCGCAGCTTAGAATGATTGAAACTTAGAACCCAATTTTGGGTATAAAGTTTAATCTTCCAGATTAGGTCTTCAGTGGAAGGGGCTTTAGTAAGATTTCCCCAAATTAGCTCCGAATAGGTCTTCCAAATGTGCCATGTGATAATACCTGGAAGATTATGCTTTAAAACGTCAATAAGAGATTTACTACCCGCCTCAAACCACCACATAAAGCAAATAGTCCTGACAGATTGACAATTTATGGAATTAGGAATATTCATGATCTGCCCAAAGTAGTCCCAAATAGCTTTAGAAAATGAACACCCCATGAACACATGGTTAGTAGTATCTCTAGAACCATGACAAAGAGGGCACATGGAGGGCTGGACAATAACACTGAACCTGCCCAAGTTTTCAGAAACTGGCAATATCCCCTTAAACAACTTCCATTGAAATAATTTAACTTTGAGCTGCTGTTTAGAATTCCAAATATGTTTATAAGAGAAAGCAGAGCCTCTGTGATGCCTTATGATGTTATAAGCAGATTTGAAAGAGAAATGACCATCTTTTGAGTGCTTCCAGGTCAGTTGCTGCGAAGTAGAGTCAACCAAGGATACTGCCAAATCATTGATGGAGCAAAGTCTTTTCCAAATGGGTGAGTCATATACTTTAGGCTTCATATTATCCCCCCTTGGATATCTACTTCTCAACTACAGCCTATGTACTCACGACTATTGGATCTTGTTGCAACCAAGGAAGACATCAAAGCCATACGTATGCGGCCGGAATAGACTCATTCATCTCCATCTTCATTAATGGACTTGTAAAATGTGAGAAAAGAACTCGTGATTTTTTTGACTTGTTGTAGAATACTTGAAAATGGGGGAAGTAAAGATGGGGTGTGTGACTCTAATGTCAAGTGAGACCATGTATTTATAGTAATATAGTTTTTTTTTATGTTCACACCAAGTAGAGGATACATCAAATTTATTATGTTTGGATACATCATATCAAGTGAAGAATATCATCAAGTGCTATGAAAGGACACACACAATGGGAAAAAGAATCCAATGTGACATGAAAGACACAACAAGTTGAGTAGAGAATTCAATGTGTTATGGATACACTGTTGGGGAATTATTCTCGCCACCTGAATTGGCTGACGTCTTCCGACAAACCGCTTCTTCTTCTTCCACTCCAGAAACTTCCAACAGCAAGTCCGGGTCTGGTTGTCGTCCTCTTCTGCTTTCTTCCAGAAGCTAGTTCCTTCTTCGTCGTTTTCAGTCAGTCTTTTGTCACCGAACTGCACCCTCAATGCAGTGAATTAATGGCAATACCTGCACACGAAAATAACAAGAAAGGCAATGGCTCGAGACGCGTCAGACGATGTCCTCAAGAAAGTATTTCCGGTAGCCGGAAATCTTCCCCCAGGATATAACGAGCCCTTCGGCGATTAGCCGGGCACAGAACTACGAGGATATAAGCAAAGTTTGTAATCCAGCAAGATATATTATTAGAGAGAATCGTAAGAACATCATTGGAGTTATATTATATGGAAAATCTGAAATGTAATATTTAATTTTTGTGTTTGTGTATTGCAACGTAGCTTTTTCTATGGAGAAGTAGTTCCTTGTTTTGAGATTGTTGGAAGCAGTAGCTAATATCTATATTCCATTTGCATCAGCTGCGTTGGAGATATATATAATTCCATCAAAAGTGGAAGTTATATATCCTACTAAAAAGGAGATAAAGATGGAGAGCCAAACATTTAAGCCATGCACGTTACAAAATTAATCTTCCATTCAAAATTAATTTGTTTATTTGAAATACTACCAAATTTCCAACATACACACAAAAGTTGAGAACAGAATTCAATGCCCCAATGTGTTTGGAACCCAATATCGAAAAGCTTAAAAAAATTAATGAAATTTATTTTTTTACATCAAAATGTGTATTTTTATTTCATAATTAATCAGAGAAAAAATTAAAAGGAAAACATTACATATAATCATTTAATTTGTTTTACGAAATTGATATGCAAAAAAGTATGAAAAGTGTATCTTATTGACGGTGCTGGAATGCAGAGAAATAGCAGTCAAAACACTGTTCTCATACAAACAAAGTCCATATTTGACATTTTAGCCTCCACGCCATTCCAAATGATCTAATTTTCTCTCCTCATTAGAGTTGTACTTTATTCTAAATTACTATTTTAATAATAGGGAAAAATAATTAAAATACTCCAAACTTTGAAGGAGTGTGAGGTAAGCACCCCAAACTTGCATATGTAATTTAAATATCCCAAAATTTATATAAAAATTATTTTAACATCATGATCATGTATCATTTGTTTCAAAAATGTAAATTTATTATGTTAATTGTATAATTTAAATTAGCAAATTCAAAACGTTGCAATTATATAGATCGAGTGCGGGGCAGTAATATTTATTTTACAATGGAAGTTTAGAATGTTAATTGTATCTTCATGAATGCTAAAATATTTTAAATTATGAAATTAACATAAAAAATTAACATTTTTGAAAAAAAATAATATATGACCATGGTGCTAAAATAACTTTTTATATAAAGTCTGGGGTATTTAAATTACATAAGAAAGTTTGGGGTGCTTACCTCACACCCCTTCAAGATTTGGGGTATTTTAATTATTTTCCCCTTAATAATAAAACTTTCTTATTAAAGAAAAGAGAAAGTTCCCGAAATAGGACTAAATCAGTTTGAAAATTCCAAAATGGGATTGCCATGTTTTTTATTCCCAAAATAGGAGTAATTACTTCCAAGTTTGGAAAAACTGCCATGTTTGAAGTCTGGTACTGCCAAAACATGACAGTAATTATTCATATTTTGGAAATAAAAACAAGACAGTCCTATTTTGAAATTTTCAAACCTTTTTAGTTCTACTTGGGATAATATTCTCTAAAGAAAATTAATCTCAAGTATTAGAGGGAAATACATACAGTAATTCTAAATACATACAGGAATACATGGACCTCTTGGATGCCACGACTTGGGCACATGGGAGTATGGGACACTGCTGCATGGACATCTTGGATGCCGCGACATGAAGTAGTTTTTTGGACTTAGGGTGTGTGCAATTTGCACCACCTTTGTATTTTTTTTTGTTATGATTTGAACTCTATGATCTGTTTGCGTGCATGCCGTGTGCATATGCAGCACTGATGTATATTTTGAATGTTTTGATGGGCCAAATACTTATACTTTGTCATTTGGTATAGAATAACTCGAATAAAAACCCCTTTTCACCACTACATTATGTGAGGGTGGGGTTTTTAAGAGATCTAGAGGTATAATTTCTTTTCTATGTTAATATATAACACTTAGAGCCCGTTTGGTAGCACGAAAATCGGCTGTTTTGGTTGTTTCTGCTGAAATTTATGAAGTTCTGGCTGAAGTGGCTGTTTTGGCTGATTCTGCTGATTCTAGGAAAAAAAATTTTAAAAATATATTTTATTAATAAAATAAAGAAAAAATTACATGTAAAAATAGCTAAAATGGTTATCTACAGTAACTTCAGCCAATACAGCCAGAAAAGTAACTCCAACCTTACTTTTTCTGCTTATTACACAATTCAACACGCGAAAGTAAAAATTACGTGTTTGCTGATAAGCCGAAAAAAGAGGTATCCAAACGAGGCTCTTAATTGCTATTTCGATAATCAATCCCCACTTTGAGAGTCCGTTTGATTAGAAAGGGGTGCCTAGCCGCCCAGGCGCCTTCACTCAAAGCCGAAGCTATGCCGGCGATTTCGTTCCCTTCACTAATTATCAACTGCCACAACTATCACGTCCTCCCGCGGCTGACAACCGCACTCGCTCTTCCCCGCCATTTAAATCTTTCGTTCTTTTCACAGTCCAGCTTCCGGTTTAGAGCTCATTCGACTTCCTCACCCTCATTATGTGCAGAATCATCTGCACAGTCTCCCAATGCCCGTTCTGGCAGGTCTGGTTCTCTCGCTGGACCTCCGGTTCAGCTTGATGGCGTGCAGAAAATTGATGTCAATCCTCCGAAAGGAACCAGGGACTTCCCACCGGAAGACATGCGTCTTCGCAATTGGCTCTTTCAGAACTTCAGAGAGGTCTGTATTTTGCTCAATCTATGATGTCTATTAAACTTTTAGCAAATTCAAATTCAATTTTTTGTTAGTATTGTTACACAATGTGTAAATTAATCGGTAATACTAATTTACATATTAGTAGGAGAAAACAATATATATATATATATATATATATATATATATGGAACTGTTTAATTTGAATATCATTTTATATTGGAAACTTTCCTGAGCTAATCTTTTTAGAGTTTTTGCCCCTAAATAGTGCTGAAACATAAGTCATGGACAAGAATATTACTATAGTTACTATGCATAGTCACACTATAGCTTAGAGTTGAAAACAATCATGATCACTAAAGTTACTGATAGTCATTAACCTATAAAAAGTCACATTTTTGCTGATAGAAAGCATTTTTACAATGGCTAATTGACTGAGCTGTTGGGCAGATAATTAAACAACATGGACTGATGATACAATCGTTTTGTTTTTAAGTACGAAGATCAAGACTATGAGTTTACTCAAAATGAAGAAAAAAATTACAAATTTACAACCATTGTTTATAAAGGCATACAACACACACGATTCGAGTATACATGTAATATCTAAAGCATTGGCCTTTGCGCTACTTCTACATAGCTTTACATTGTTGTTAAATTCACTTTATGATCTCTTACCATGCGTTGTAGGTTTCACAGCTGTTTGGGTTCGAAGAGGTAGATTTTCCAGTGCTAGAGTCAGAAGCACTGTTTATTAGGAAGGCTGGAGAGGAAATTAGAGACCAGGTTTTTGGATATAGTCAGTTAGTCACTTTTGATTATTTAAGTTATTACAAAACTAGACCTTTGATTGAAGGAATGATCTTTGTTGCCCGTTGTTTGTTTCGTTTTCTTTCCTGTTAGCTTTACTGTTTTGAAGATCGGGGAAACCGCCGAGTTGCACTGAGACCTGAACTAACACCTTCCTTGGCACGACTTGTGATACAGAAAGGGTACATGGTTTGAGTTGTTTTATCTCATTCGTTGCACTGAAATATATCGTCACTGACTTCTTTATCATTATATCTGTAACAAAAATGATGATTTACCTTGAAAAATGCTCAAATATTCATAGGTATTTATATGATATTTCTTGTTTTTTGTATCCAGGTACTCGTGCCAGGTTTTGATCTCCATGTTTTTTTCATGTCCAGAAAATCAGTACCCCTTCCACTAAAATGGTTTGCCATTGGGCAGTGCTGGCGCTACGAAAGAATGACTAGAGGCCGACGTCGTGAACATTACCAGTGGAACATGGATATCATTGGCATTCCGGATGTTACTGTATGCCAATTATACTTTAGCCGTAAACCAATACTGCTTTTTAGTAATTATACAGTTACACACACAGAAGTTTGTAAAACTGGTTTGCTAGTTTTTTCAGCTCTGCCTTTGGTAATTTATACATTTTAAGCAGTTGAAATGAGTTATTGGAATATATGCTAGAGTGGGCATTTTGAGAATTCATCTCTCTTGGACATTAGATGCAATAAGAGAGTTTTCATAAATTTGGCTATCCATATGGACTATCTGTGCTGACATTTTGGCGGTGTATATTTCTTTTTTTAGTTTTATATTTAGTTCAATGTTGTTTCGGCGTTTTAGGATCATCTACTAAGCTGCATTATTTGTTAAGACATAGTTGCTTCATTGTGTTCAGTTAGGGGCTAAGTATTGAGTTGCGGTTTCTGTAATAATCACACCCTTTACAGCCCCCACCTCAGGGATCACTAATGCCCAATTAAGTACTTCTGTGTCGGTTAGGTGCCCACTCAAGTGCCATTGAGTGCCTACCGTCTTCTGCAACACTGTATTTAGCTTTATGGGGCACACTGAACTTAGTTTTTCATGTGTTTTTGTATTAGGCTGAAGCTGAGCTAATTTCAGCAATCATTACCTTTTTCAAACGCATCGGGATCACTGCTTCAGACATTGGGTTCAAGATCTCTAGTCGGAAGGTAAGAGTCATGTCTCTTTTTCCAGGAAAAAACACAAAAAACATGTGTGCGTGCCTGCACGGTTATCTGTTTGTATGGGTGTGCTGCCTAATTTCTCTTTGAATCAAAGTCAATACTCAATAGTTTTGGAGAAGTGACATGTTCCCCTTTTGTTTCACTAATGACGACTTGACAGGTTTTGCAAGAAGTACTGCATTGCTACTCTGTTCCAGAAAATATGTTCAGTAGGGTGTGCGTAATTATAGATAAGGTTACCCTATTCTTGACTTCTATTATAACGTAGTTCCTTTAGTCGCAATTTATTCATATTTGATGAGCTTTTGATGTTGTTTTCATTCGATTTGGTCCTTCGTATCTGGTTGTGTATAAATAAGTTTATCTCCCCTTATAGTGCCACAATTGGCACGGAGATGATGCATTAATATTTATATCAGAGTATCAGACACCCTTCTACAGTGATTTTCACAAAAAATGCTGTTTTCCATTTTAGTTTTTAGTTTACCTAGGTGAAAAACTTGCAGGTTGGTGGTGTGAGTATGTAAACAGAAGCAATAGATTATAGAGTTTTTTAAT